ATGCGTTTCGTTTCATTGTCCCTGAGAAAAAGCACTTTTTGCAATTTGGATAGGCCAAGAAAACTCTGGAAAGAGTGTTTGCAATTTGGACAGCCAAGCAAACTTTTTCTTCCTTATTAATTTTATTTTTATTTTAAAATTAATATTTGAAAAAACTTTTTAAATTAGTAAAAAAATTTAAATAAATTTTTATATTTTTATTATATTCAATTGTATTTTAATTTTCAATTAAATAAGTTTTTGTTGTTAATTATTAATAAATAATCAATAATTAAATCATTACTTATTATTTTATATATGTGATGCTATTGTATTGTAATGATATATTATGATAAAAGATGACGTGACATGTTAATATTACATGATAATATGATTATATTATTTTTTTATTTTTTTATTAACATTGTATTAAATGATAAATAATATTTTAATTAACAATCTGTTAACTATTTATCACAAAAACTTAACTGATTCAAAATAAAAATATTAAATTTGATTAAATATTAGCAAAAGAATAAATAGTTATTTAAATTTAATATAATATCTAAAAAAATTAAATAAGTCTTAATTTTTTTTTATGATCAATCAAGACCCTTGCATTTATTAGAATTCAAATAAGCATTTATATTTTTATTTTAAGTTAAATAAACTTTTAAAACTAATAATTGACTTAATCAAAATATTATTTATCATTTTATATTATTTGACGTTAATGTAATATGTTAACATGTCAAAATAAATAATGATTTTATATAATGACATTATCATATAATATTTTTACTCTTTACTTCAATGTCACGTTAATGCTATGTAAGTTTAAAATCACAAGTGACATTTTGACTAATGAAAATTAATTATTCATTAATGATAAAAACTTATTTGTCTTAAAATAAAGATATAAAAATTTAATTAATCGTAAAAAAAATACTTATTTGAATTTTTTTTAAATAATTCAAGAGTTTTGGGACTATTATACCTGAAATTTTTTTAAATAATTTAGAGATTTTTCCAAACATTATGCATTTTTGTCTTTTCTAAAAAAGTAACTAAGTTGCTCTTACTTATACTAATTATTTAAATTTTCTATTTTATGGAAAATAGGGAGGCCAAGAATGATTTAATTTGATCAATCTGGGTTGGGCCAGCAATAGGATCAAGAGGCCCATATTTAAGTTTACAGTTTGGTTAGTACGCCTGGATCTAAAGTATTTTTTTAATTTTTTGATTTGTTTATTGGTTTATAATAATAAAAATAATAATAGTAATGTCATATATATTATTTTAAAAGGAACCATGTTATATATTTGAAGATGATTACATGTATAGTTATAATTTACATTCTTATTTATTTTCCTTGTTTGCATAATTTGCAGCACTACCTATATTGGGTCAATAGAGAAGGAAAGCACTACCCATATTGGGTCAATGGAGAAGGAAAGCGAGAATGAGAGAATTGGGTTGGCTTTGTCTCATTGGGAGAGTGGATGTTGAAACTTTAGGAAAAGGCTGTTGGAAAAGGGGTCATTCCATGCTCACAGTCCACTTGGAATCCATCAAATTCATTGCTACCAAACAAAACATCACATGGCAGAGGCAGCAAAGTACAACCTGTTACACATCATCACTTTTTTCTCTCTAAAAAAAAACCAAAGGAAAAAGAAGCTTCTCTTCTCTTTCTCATTTTGCAATCCACACATACACCACCACCATTTCAATGCTGCTTGATTCACTCCTATATCTAGACTAGGCGGCAAAAGGTTAAAACTAATATCCCTTGCTTGGCCTGTAAGTCTTGTAGCGGCACTTTTATATAAGTTTGAAGACCCTAAAGGAAAGCTGTGTATGCAGCAGCTCCAAAACGACTCCTCCAAGCTCCTACTTCATGGCCACCAAAATCCTAGCATCTTCCAGCCATGGTTTTGAGAATGAGTGCAAGGAAATTCATGATTCTTGGGGAAGATTGAACCAATTGATTCGAGCTTTGGCTAGTCGAACTCAGCTTGAATGCCGGCGAATCAGAGAGACTTATAAGGATATGTATGGGGAAGACCTGATTACTCTGCTGCAAAAGACTAGTATGACTAGCCAGAGAACTGAGCCTGGGGTCTCACCAAAAACTTGTGCAGCCTTGTCTCTCTGGATGCTTGATCCTCATGAACGTGATGCCACTGTTGCTAGGGAGGCAATTCAGCAAGATGATACTAACTTTAAGGCTATTGTGGAAATTTTTCTAGTACGAAAATCAAGTCATATTGCCCTTATCAAGCAAGCCTATCAATCAAAGTATAAAAGGCAGTTGGACCAGGATATCATCACTATCGAGCCTCCCCACCCTTACCAGAAGGTAAGTTTGGTTAAAATTACAGACCGCATTTCAAGTATAAAGCCTGGAATATGAATTGGAATCCCAGACGATTTCATATCGTTGGTTCATATCTTTGTTCTTGTGACAGATTCTGGTTGCATTAGCCACATCACACAAGGCACACCAGGCAGATGTTAGTCAACATATCGCGAAATGTGACGCAAGGAGGCTTTATGAGACAGGGGAAGGAAGCCCTGGAGCCATAGATGAAGGTACTCTGCTAGAGATTTTCACTAAAAGGAGCGTTCCACAGCTTAAGTTGACATTTTCTTGCTATAAGCACATCTATGGACATGACTACACAAAGGTAATGTGTTTCTTATGCTGCATCTGAGCTTCTTAATTTGTTTCTACATTTGAATAGAGAAGAAACTTATTGCTTCATCTATATTTTTCAGTCAATCACTAAAGGCGACTCCTGGGAGTTTGAGGATGCATTGAAGATGGTTATAAAATGTATTTGCAACCCACCTAACTATTACGCAAAGGTAATAGTCTATGTTACATTGACTTGGGAGATATAGGGATACGTTTACCTTATGATTTTGACAAATTTTTTACATTAATTTTGAGGATTGAAGTGTTACACCTGTTAAATAGCCAAGTATCTAAGAAGCATCGGACACGAATATGTTAAGGTAAAGCAAAGAGTCCACATAACATAGGTCATAATAGTAATCTTTTTCATATCTAATGTTTTAACAAAACTAAAACTATGCAAAACGAGGGTATTAGTCACATAACTGAATCACTGAAATTGATGATTAAGTTCCTATTTTTCTACTTGACTGGTTTGCAGACTTTGTTTACAAGCATTAAAGGGATGACAGCAGATAGAGGCGCCTTGGCACGTGTGATGGTGAGCAGAGCTGAGATGGACATGGATGAAATTCAAAGGGTCTTCAAGATAAAATATGGAGTAGAATTGAGAGAAGCAATATGCGACAGCATTCCATCGGGGGATTACAGAGACTTCCTTCTTGCTTTAGCTACTAAAACAGCTACTACCCCTTCCAAAGCTTGAAGTTCTCAATTGTCTTTTAGCTCTAAAACTCCTTGAATATGTGGCATAATTGTTTCAAGTCCTTGTTTTCCTTACTGTATAGTTGGATGGTTATTATGCTACCTTTATGAAAAGCAGTCCCACAGAATTACAGCCGGTCGTTTCAAGTTCTGTGAGGTACATGTTTAAAGGAGATATTAACTTTTTCCTTACTAGCTTCCTAACCAGCTAAGTGACAAAAGAAGCAAAAGCATGCCTGTCAGACATTATCTTGGAACGTTTTTTTGCATTTTGCTGGCGAATTTTACTCCATTCAAAGCAACGCTGAAAGGTGAAAAATATGGTCATCTTTTGGTTTCATTGCCTGTTGAAAGAAGCTAAAAGTATAAACGTGTGAAAATTATGAAGTTTCATAAAGTTGCAGATCAACAATTGTGGCCTTTTTCGTAAAAACGAAAACCAGCACTAGAATCTTGGAAAGATATCCTGCATCAATTATCCAATCAAATTGCCATAAATAGGCCACATCAAAACCAGGCCAATTGCAGATTTTGAGATGTACAATCTCAGGGTCATCACGTCGAGGAAATTAAGCCTGGATTAAAAAGAACAGGCCGTACTAATTAGGCCAGTAGACTGAAAATTGTACCACCATTTTCTGATCAAAGAAGCACTAATAAGCATGCGTGGAGGGAGGAAAAGATTCCTGAAAAGTGAGATCTTAATTGCTTATTGCTTTGCTTTTGGACCTCAAGAAGGGCCCAACAGATTCCTTTTCATTCCATTCTGTCCTTAGCACTTGTGATGATGCTCGGCTTGGGAGTGAGTGTATATATCGGACATAAATATGTTCAAATTTTCACAAAGTATTTTCTTATACAATGAGGGTCGGACCATCAGACATGGGTACTTCAAGGAAATGGAAGAGTTGGAGCAACATAGCTTAGTACACCCTGCAACTGTTTGGTCCATGCAACCTTTAACTCCTGTACAGTAACGAATGAGCTTGTTAGAGTTAAACAAGCTTAAGGCCCCTTGAATTTGCACATTTCAGCTATTATGAATCTCTTAGCAAACAGAAAACTGTCTCACTGTTGAATATATAAATGATCAAATTGCAAAGGTGATCAGATTTGTTATTAAACCAGAAAGCCCAAGAGTGAGTCACTAATGCAGAATTAAACTTTTTATGAGCTAAGAAATTAACCTTCTTATTGAGTTGCATACTCAAGCAGACCAGGCACATCTTTTGTTATCCTCTTCAGGAAATTCTAGATATATTGAAGCAGTTGTTAAAAATGAAGAAGAAGAAGAAAAATCCTATACTCACTTGTAATCATTTATGAAATTAACATGGGTAACCATCCAATTTTCTGTCTACTTTTTGAACAGATTGGGACTGGTAAGTTTTCTCTCTGTCATTTGTGGCATTTTCCCCTTCCACCAAACAAAGCATAAAACTTGCATTATATGATATAGTAATTAACAATCATCTAAATTAAATCAATCCCTACAAAAAAGTTTTTTTATTAACTTTACGTTTTCTAAATGGGATCTATAATTAATTTTTGAAAATAAAAAATCTATAATTGTCAAAATTATGACTCCAAAACCATGTAAAGCATGAATTGGCTATGTAATAGGTATCAAATTGCCAAAGATTATGAAGTAGTTCTTCTTAATAAGGGTAAACCTCTTCTTTTCCATTAGCTTGACACCTACCAAAGTCCAAGCAAACCTATGAAGTAAAGAAGGGATCACCTGTTAAGGGAGGACATCCAATGTAGTGTGAAGGAAGATTGTCCACAGTAGCAAACCAAATCATATGCTTAGAATTTGGAAAAGGAATGATTCCTCCCTTCCATAGGAAACCCAAAAGAAACCTCTTTAGACCAAGCATCTTTCAAATATAAGCGTTTTAATCTAGTGCATATCTATAAAAGGAGTGTGAAGAATTCAGAAACAAACATTACTATTCCTTTCCAAGATTCAGCAATGGTCCGCTCCTTCCAAGATTTCCAGCCTGATTTCATATACCAACAAGGAGAAACTCAGGATATCATTGAATTAAAATTGAAAGGTATATATATTACATCCTATATTGCTTACTTACCTTCTTGTTTGAAATAGAAAGAAGTTCTTTTGCTCTTAATGCTGCTTTGCTATTGTGCAATTACATTGATCAATGCTAATTGTTTCAAGCCCATTCTATTTATGTAGATTTTAGAAGGGATCAGCTCAGAGTTACCTTCGGCACCAATGGGACCCTAACGATTTGCGGAGAACGTCCCGTGGAGGGAACTAGGTGGATCCGATTCCGCAAGGAATTCACCCCTCCCAAAGATTGCAAAGCAAATGAAATTCGGGCAAGGTTGAGTTCTGGCATTCTATACGTAACAATACCTAAGAAAGTTGTTCAGCAGGTTCCCCAACAGGATCAAGCCAGACCAGTGCAACAAGCGTCTGCAATTCAAAACGAAGGGAAACTAAAGCAAGAGAGCAGTCGAAGTACAGAGGCTGCTGAGACCTTTACAACTAAAGAATCGGGTCCTGAAGATGTGACTACGCCAACTGAAAATGCTACATTGCCCAGGGCTAGTCCCAAATCTTTTATTTCAGGGCTGAAAATGGGGAGAAAGACGGCAATGAAGGTTGCTGCAAGCGTTACAATGCTGTCATTGCTGTTTATTGTACTGTTTTTTATGTTCAAATATTATGCTCCCATGGTTAATATTGTCAACTGATTACATTTCAAGTTCCTTAAACTTGATGGAATTCATTGTAATTTGACCAAAGAATATTAAAAAGGTCTCTTAAAAGTACACAAAGTGAAGAAGTAAAAACCAATGGCCACAAGGGTTTTTCAGATAAACATGAATGATCCAGTTAACAGCTGGGGCAAGCCAGTGTATCTATGAGCATTTAGGAGAAATTTCATAAGAGTAACCTTTTGTTTTCGTTTTAGTCAGCAAAAATTTTTCATTAAGAAAGCAAAGAAGGTAAACAATAAACCCTTTATTCAGTTGCCAACTATCTGACAGAAAGAAACAAATAAAAACAGATCCAAACAAAAACATCTGAAGGAAAAGAAAATGAAATCCACAAATAATGAATTTTTTCTTTTTTTTTTGAAAATTGTCTATTTATTGCTGGATTTTTAAAGTAACCCCATTGTCTAGAACTGAAATAGAGGACCGTGATGCTCTGTTTCAAGATCTTGCTTCGTTTAGTCTCCCGCCATAGTTCCGGTACCTTTAGCCCCATTGAAAACCTCAAACGTGTTCTCGGAATAGCCGTCACTACCTTCATAATAACCGAGCACCATTCACCAAATTCCAGCATACGCTCAATTGTCACATCAAACGTTTTAAAAGAAATAGACAGAATATTTCAATCTCACAGTGAAAAGATTAAAAAATCTAAAACATTTATAAATGCAAGCTTTAGACACATTGCCAGATTAATCTTTTAAAGAGAAAATAATAAGTCTGTGACTTCAAGCAATCAGCTAACCTATGAGGCTTTACATTCCTAACTTGGGGGTTGAAAGATGCATTTGAAACAAATGTGATTGGAAAAATTTAAACCAAAATTTTGTTTTAATATCAAATGAACTTAGAGGCTGAAAAAGAAAATAGCTTGGTTAATTTCGAGAGTTGTCAAAAATAACACGTTGAGACCATCTTTATAGATTTAAGATTCAACTCACTCCCGTTTCAAAGGTGTTATTAAATATCCAAGTATCATAAAAAATTAATAAGGAAAAGAAGTATATAATGATATGTTTATTTATTTCATAACATTAACGACTGATCAAGATCTTCTAAATTAAGGAGAAATCAAGCTGTCCATTAATTAGTACCATTACATCTTGTATTAATTTTTTTTTCAATTTGGAAAAATTAATGCATAATGATCGGTTTAAATTTTTAAGGATCACGTCGTTTAGAAGAAAAAAGTTGCTAGGTCAAGATTGATGTTAAGAGTTAAGGTGTTACAAAATACGTTCCATTGATGATGGACACAATGAGAATTTCTTAAGAAAGAGAATGTTCCCAAACTGAAAACATGCCTCAGGGTTAAGAAAAGTTAAGAATAAAACAAAAAGGTTTCTCCATTAATGGAGTAAAGAGGGGAACCTAATTGAAAAACAAAAGTAACCCAATCTACCAGAAGTAATGAAGGAATCATTCTCTTCCAAGAGGAAACACAAAAGGAAAACTCTTTATACCAACTTTGTCAGAGGTTTCTTGTCTCAGAAAATTATAAAAGGAACAATGAGCAAGTTGGCTGCGGCATTCAGTATACAATTGCAATTCAATCTTCATATGCTCTAAAATCCTAAAAGAGAATTAAAAGAAAAGAAAGAAAGACAAAGTTTGCAGCCTTCCATGGAAACCACTTATGAAGATTTTGAGCCCTTGTGCAAATGGCGAAGGGAGCAAAAGAGTGACACCCTCGAGGTCCACCTCCCAGGTAAATATATTTTGCCATATCTTCAAATGACCAATTTAGTCTCTGATTCTTAGTACTTACATTTCTGTCTACCAAACAAAAAATGTAGGATTCAAGAGGCAGCAATTGAGAGTTCAACTTAGCAGTTCTGGGATCATAACCATTACTGGAGAACGTCAATTGGATGAAGCTAAAGCTATAAAAAGCCGATTCCGCAAAGAGTTTCCAGTTTCAAAGGATTGTCAACCAAACCAAATTCAAGCAAAGTTCAGCAATGGCGTTCTTTCCCTAGTAATGCTTAAGCAAGAGTCTAGCATTTCCGGTGCTGGTGGGAATGTTACTTCAGGCAAATTTCTAAGTTCAATAATGAATATGAATAAAAGGGTAGCTTTGGAAATCATAATAGCAATATGCTTGGTATTGGCTGTTCGAGCTTATGTTAAGAAATGTTGCCAATGCTCTCATCTTGGGAATTAAGTTTACTTTGTAATTTGAAACATGAATGAAAATTAAATACATAATAAGTTGAACTTATTGTTTACATATGTGATTATCTCCTGCCCAATTTGCTTAATTTCCTTTTTTTTGTCTAACGTCATTTACTTATGGCACTATGTTAATATATCTTCCTACAATTTAAGCATCAATGTTATGAAACGTCAGCTGCAAAA